TAAACAATGAACAAGAGATCACCGGTTTATCACAACATTATCCTTCAGGAGGCAGATATCGACCACATGCAATTTGCTTTGAATTGTGGCATCGATACGACAGCATAGAAGCATAAGATTCAACAGTGAAGAAACACTCCCGAAAAATGATGGCAAACACACTCACACCGCACTTGAACGTTCGTTCATTGTCGTGCTCAATGACATGCGCTGTCGCGAAACCACCGTATGACTGAACTTTGGGGAATTATAACAATTTTCCGAGGAGAGTTCATTGCATCACATTAATGGGGATATGCGATAGAAAAGTTGCTAATGTACAACAGCTCGTCTGCTCCATTACCCCTTTCCACAATCTGACAGGCCGTCATTATCCAGCCTACTGCCTGTTGCGAGTGGTAGCCGCGAAGTCATGAACGCCCAACATGACGTCACATTTGAATGTCCTCTATATCTGTCTGTCTGCCTGTCTCTGTTTCCCCCACTACAACGTACTAATGCGGTCGCGAACCATATAGTGCATCCATCAATAGTAGTTGTTTATTGTTCAAATGTGCCACGTCACTTGCAGTCGTTATGAGTTGTTTTCATAAGTTATTATTATTGGTTATTTAGGCCTTTCACTACGGGCGTTCATTCTAGCACGTCACCATTTGGTTCTCGTTTCTTATTTCGTTTCAGTTACAATAGTTTCTATTCGTTTAGGTACTAAACTTAGTTCACAGTAGGTCACCTAGTCGTTGTCAGTCGCGTAGTCGTATTGTTATCGTTGTAATCGTTGTAGTTACAAAGGGTTTAATTACCCAAGTTTGAGATCTGGAAAGGGAAGAGGAAAGCAAGTTTCAAGTCAAGTAAACAATTAATCAAGCAATCAAATCAAAAGCACAAACAGAAACAAATTTCAATCATTGCCTTCTGATCTCAAGCTATTGTGTTGTGATCGGACATGTTCGGACGGAGTCGTCATCGTCACGTTTTCGCTACTTCTCAACTCAAGTCAGTCGTCCGATACCAAATCAAGATTCAACCTAAATCAATTGCTCACAACTCAACTCAATTGTCCAGCGTCCTGCATCCTGTCCCTAAGTTACAGGTAAAGTCAAAACACAAGTTCCTTTCCCCTACATCCTTCCCAATCAATTCCCCTCTACTTTCAAACGAATCAAGGTATCGTTCAGTCAAACGTACAAGCCGGCTAAGCATAAATAAGTTCTCAATTCACGTCAACAGAACGCTTTCGTCAATCAACTTCAGTCCACCTTCATCGCCGACTCGACTCAATCATCATCTTCTGTGATCTGTTGGTTTTGTTAATTGATTCATTCGTATTTGAGTTAGCCGAGACCTTAAGAGATCATTACTACAGCTCCAGGCTGTATTAATGATTCTTGTTGACGATTAAACTCATAGCTCAGGTCTCAATGAGATTTGAACATGCTCCCCATACTCAAGGTAAGCCTCAGGCGAACTTCTTAGTGAAACTCAGTCGAAGATAGAGACAAATCTGAGGTGGGGTTCGGCTTGGCCTTTTGTCACAGATACATTAGCTACAAAATAGTCCTAGTGTTTTAGTTTTCTTGACAATGATCTAATCATTAGGTGGCTCTGTCAAAATGATTCCTTGACTATTAGTGTTTGGTAGGTTGTGGTTCGGTTGTAACCGCGGGACGATTTGCCATGGTCACCGACCGAGCGAGCCTTGTCAGTTGCGGTCGGTAATCACCGAAAATCGGTCGGTAATCACCGACGGTTTTGCGGTATTCCCCGATCGTCGGTGAATACCGAGTTGCGGTGATTACCGATCGCAACCGACAAGGCTCGCTCGGTCGGTGACGGTGGCAAATCGTCCTGCGGTTACAACCGAACCGCAACCGACCAATGCTCAAAATTATGTAGTCGATGAATACCGAGTTGCGGTAATCACCGAACCGTCGGTGACCACCCAAACTGCCCGTTAGGCAAACTTTTTGTAGTTGTAGATTAGTGCTGTGCGGAGAGAGAAAAATGAGTCGGGATCGGGACGGGAAGTTCGGAGACGGGGAGAGTCCCTGAAAATGACTAGCGCTTGAAAATGGTCGGGGGCGGGGATTTCGGAGATGGGGACTCCGAATTCGGGAACTCCCCGCACAACACTAGTTGTAGATAGTGTTGGGTCGGTGGTCACCGTCGGTCGTTAATCACCGTCGGTTTTGCAGGAGTCCCCGACCGTCGGTGAATACCGAGTTGCGGTGATTACCGACCGCAACCGACGAGGCTCGCTCGGTCGGTGACCGTGGCAAATCGCCCCGCGGTTATAACCGCAACCGGCCGACGTTCAAAATTATGCGGCTGGTGAATAACAGGTTACGGTTATCACCGACAGGGGTCTCGGTCGGTGATTACCGAGAAAAATCTTGCGTTTCTCAACACTATTGACAATAGTAATAGATTCCTTTAATACCGCCGGTAGTGTAGCGGAAAAGTTTTAGGAATTTGGAGTTTTTTGCTTTGATTGTGTCTTTTTTCGCTAATATAGCAAACGAATGCTAAGTATTGAATTACGGTGCACAGAGAATGATGCTGAAACGATGATTATTATTCGTTGAAACCAGATCAGAAAACAATTAACATATTCGATAATTAGGATGAGATGGAAGATCGGCGATGGGGATATGAATACAATTACTCGCAGATATGGTTGATCGTTGAATTGCAGGTTGACTTCGAATATGATTTAAGCAATGAGTTGGTCGAGTAGCGTACAATACCACTGACGAATGAATCTCACAATATTGATGAACAATTGTACAACATCAGAACGAGCCACACGAAATTGTACGAACCACTCAAAACTGTAAGAAGCTATCAAACTAAAGATTTTCTTGCATCTAAGGGTGATATTTTGAAGGCGTGATTAAGGATATACAAATAATATAATTATGACTTGATCAGTACAACATAACGGCTTCATGTGCATTTGCTTCAATCTTTTGAGATGTTAGATAAAAGATGCATAATCAAGATAATGCTCTAGACAGCTATTACAATCTGAAAGGATAAGCATTAAAATTCCAAGCGTTGCCAATCGTAGACACTACATCATATATCGATATCACAATATTCACTTATTGTAGAAGACGATTGCTGGTATCAAATTTGTGATTTTGATTTGAATAGACAGATATTGAAATAATTGATTTGAATTGATACATATTGAAATTAAAACATTGATATATTGAATGAATTTGAATGTAACTGAATAAGTGATATATTGATTTATTGAAATAAGAAAGAATTTATACAGGCCTTGCGATTTCATGCCTAGGTGATTCATCGCCGTTTGTACTTTCGCCATTTCTGTCGCGACATTCCGGCGTCCTTGATTTTGAACTTCCCGATGGAATCCACAAGGGTCGAAAGTTGATGGCGTTGAGCTGACGTTCGTTTGGACATTACGCATCTTTGGCACATTGCGTTGAAACAAGTGAAACATTGAGGACACATGATTATTGTTATGACGATTGTTACTGTCAGCCCTATGAGTGACAGTGAGCCTAGTAGAAACTGCCAATATCGAGCAATTTCTTGGATTTCTTGCGCGATCATATGAGATGATTTATCAATAATGATACCAGCTGAAATCATTGTTTGTTCCATCTCATCTCGAATATTGTCAATCGTCGACTTTGTCTTTTGTTCTGAGAGGTGATTCCATGTATCTGATTTGTCCTCAAGTTGATCTAGCGTCCATTGTATCCGTTCGTCCGATAGTTCTGTTATTGGTGGGGCATCAAAGATTTCGTTTGTATACGAAGGCGATCCGTTCCATTCTACGGCGATTTCGAAATCCGTGTTTATTCGTATTTCCTGACAGCTGATCTGTTCGGAACGTATTTTGATTTCGCGCGACCTTGGATATACAAACAGGATCTTTTCCTTGATAACACACTGGAACATCTCTGTAGCATTTGCCTTCGACGTTGTGGTTGATGGAAACTTCTGAAACTGTCAAGTTTCAACATGGAAACACCTTGAGGAAACTTCCCACGTTCTCCGCGGCGATATCGTTACGTTTGAAAAGGATTCTAGCTGCGGTCGTTGGATCCGTTTGACTGATCGCTTTGACGAGGCGTAGAAGTCGATTTTGGTCCTCACAGACTCGATGACGAACTTCTTGTATCACTTGTCGTTCCTGGTTCACTAGAGTGTTCCACAGATATTGTAAGTTAGCATTGATCGCTGTACCTCTTCTGATGATTTCGTTGGGTAATCTCTCAACGAATAGAGTTCGGCCCGTTGTAATTCGATCTGCTTCCTTTGCTTGGTCATTCGTTGAGGGACTGTGATCGAGAATAATTCCATTCTCCATTGTTTCCACCTCTCTGAATTGACAGTTCATCATGATAGTTGACCGGTTTTGTGGAATGCGTTTCCTAACGAATACTGTTTGCATCTCGGGAATTGTAACGAATCGTTCTGACAAGTGCGCGATCTTCATGCCCAACGACTGATAGGGACATTGACGTTTCAAGCTAACTGGATCCCATAAAATGGTTTCAGTTGGAGTGTTGCACTTGCCCGTCGTTTTGTTGCATCCGTCAGTACGACTGAGTCCATCGTAAAACCTCGCTTTTCCCTGTTCCAATCGGTAGTTTATAGTAGTGTGGCAACGTGTTCCAATCCATCCGTAACTATATCCTGTCGGTTGTTTAGATGACCAGCGCTGATCATAGATTTTGAAGAGCGAAATTTCGTGAAGTTGGTGCGTGCGTAGCATTTCCATACACTCCGCAGATGTTACGTTTCGAATTGTCGTTTCATCTCGTGTGACTGCTAGATTCCATCGAAGAAATGAGTTAGTACAGACATGGAACTGATGGTGCCTGAAAAAATTAATGAGACAAAGAGATTAATGAGGCCATTAACGTTTGTAAATACAAATTTGCGCTGTAGCGCTGCAAAATATTCAAGCCTACCATAGTCGTATCACCTCAGACGGTTCGATGTTGAGTATTCAGTCACAGTTCGAATGTTTGCCTTTGGTGCAGCCCTACCATCCCGTTTCAGTTCATTACGCTATACGACTGTGGCGCAATTAGTGTGTCGCGAGAGGAAATGAAACTTGATGAATAACTAAATTGTACTAACATGCTAGGGTCTCGCCTCCAATGAAGGAAGCGATGATGAAAGAACTGCATGGGATACAAATTTAACAAATATCGCACAAACAATTCTTTCGCAATCTATACATGCAAATGAGTAGAGTAAAGAAAGGTGGAGATATCGATGTGTATAATGCGATTAGGTAGTCATTGTAGATGAGAACTAATGAGATGTCGTCAACGTTTGATTGAACTAATCATTGATGCGACATCGAGTCGTGCGAGAATTTTTATGTAATTAACAAAATCATACATATTAACGACTGGCGATTATCTGGTGCTTATTGGCTTATTGAGTAGTGATTATTTTTGACTGATGATTATTGACTGCTGTTGAATGATTCAGTAGAAAGTATATTTTATTTAATGGCTTAAATTATACACTATTTAATGGTAAAAAATGGTGCTACTGCAAACTTTGAGAGAAAATTCCAAAATAAACATAACGAATAGCGGACCAGTTTTGTTTGATTAGCGGGATGTGAAAACGGTTCACCCTTTTCATGGCGATGATAGCGATAGCGAATAGCGCTTGAAATTTTTAAGATAGCGGATAGCGCGCTAACATCTTCTGTTAGCGTGCCATCTATGAATT